GCCAGCTGTATGCAAGCCCTACTGTACTAAGCCACTGTACTATCTATCCAGCCCATTTTAAGTATCCTAAGTTCTGGTCAGACATATGACACTAGAATGATGTATGCGATGAAACTATCATTAGTAGTATTATAATCACTGTTTAAATTTTTTTTATTTAAATTAGGAAATATTTGCAAATTACATGTTCCTAAATACAAAGGAATAAAAAGTGCCTAAGCCAGTTTCATGAAGTTAAAGTTCAAAGGATTTTACAGTCTTTTCGGTTTAAAAAAAAAAAATCCCAGTATGTATTTTTCTATTTATATTCCATTTATACTCCTCTTTACTGTTTTTCACTTAGCCCAATACTGTTGCGATCTACTTGAATAGAACACCAAGAAGTTACTGATGCTAAACACATCAAGAATAGCTATGTTTGCTACTAAAATACAGTAGTAAAATCGTGGCTAGCTTTTAGAACACAAATAATAGTTTATTTTTACCCTGGCACTACATAACGCAGTACTGTACATCAGCCAAAATACATGAAAAACTAGATATACATAATTCACTTGGAATAAAGTATATAACATATATGTACCTCACCAAATAATATACTATACCATTATAATCTTACAGATAAAATTATTATCCATAAACAGTACAGAGGAAATAAACTAGAAGAGCAAGTGATTTTTTGGCGGGGTCCCCACATTCAGAGGTGCTCAGGGGTTACTCCTGGCTCTGGACTCAAGAATTACTCCCAGCAGTGCACCAGGGACCAGATGGAATACCAGGGATCGAACCTGGGGCCACTGCATGCAAGGCAAGCATTCTACCTGCCTTACTGTAACTTGGCTCCTAGAACATCAACTGAAAAGCAGCAACCGCAAAAATGAGTAAAATCAAAAAGCACACATTTTGGTGTTCACTTGCAAATTAATAAATTCAATATTTTAGCTCTTACTCTATTAAAAGCCTGGCAAGCTCCCCGTGACGTATTCAATATGCCAAAAACAGTAACAAGTCTCACAATTTGTTGAGAGATGTTACTGGTGCCCGCTCGAGCAAATCGATGAACAACGGGAGGACAGTGCTACAGTGCTACCATATTAAAAAATTAAACATCTTATTGGTAAAAGTTAAAATCAACATACCCCATCCACAACAATAATGGACCTACACCACAGCTCCTGAACCTCTACTTGCTCCTCCGCCCTTCTAGTTATACTTCGTCACTGGGTAGAGATGGACAAAGAAGGAAAAGGGAAACCCTAAGTCTAATCACTCAAAGTCTTCCAGGGTGACAGAACTGCGATGATTCACCCTCAGCAAGCAGGAACACTAGAAAACCAATGGAGAAATATTGGTTCAATGAGAAGAACCCACCAACTTCAATGAGTGAAAACAACAAATACAGAAAGCACAAACACATCCAGCTCTGTAAAAAACGGCAGAAAATGACTTTAGTGACAACATGGTGAGGATGTTTAATTAGATCAAACAAACAATGATACAGGTAGTCAGCAAGGCACGATTAGAGGTGAAATGAGGAAACTACAAGTAGAAATTAAGACTATGGTAGGTGATGTAAAAATTTCATTAGAAGCTCTAAGCAACAAAATTACAGGAGCAGAAAAAAAGACTGAGGAGTACCCAGGTGAGTTGAAACCTCTAGAAAATTAACAAGATAGAAAAAAGTTTGAAAAGAAATTAACAATACACCAGAGAACTATGGGATGAGCTCAAGAAGAACAATATAATAATCGTTAAAGTCCCTGCAGACCAGAAAGGCAAATTTGATGAAGAACCAATATTTATACAGAGCTAGTTAAGAATTTCCCAGAGTTGTTGCAACGCTGCATGAAACCCAATCATGGATAACTCTGTAACTGTTTATCTCACTCAAAAATTAATAAAAATGATTTAAAAGACAATTTCCCAGAGTTGTGAAATACAAGCAACCAAATACAAGAAGTCAGAAGGGTCCCATCAAAAACAGACTCAACTAGGAAAATTCCTAGACACACTATGCTCAGAATGACAAAAACCTAAGACAGAAACAGAATACTGAAGGCAGTGAGATAAAACAAAAAACAAGGAAAAAAAAGAAAAAGAAAAAAACAACAAGAAAAACTTATACACGAAAAAAGTCCGTAAGACTGACATCAGATCTATCAAATAGACTATGAGCCAGGAAAGAATGACAGAATATAGTTCATTTCATTGAAGTTTCAAAATTCACAATTAAAGAACACCTCACCAAAATGTAATTATCTAGTTAGATTATCATCCAGATTCAAAAGAATGACAAAGTTTCATGAACAGGCAACAGCTTGGGGAACTTCAAACCAGTTTTACAAGAAAAGTTTAAGAAACTTCTTTAAAGAAAAAGACAACTTCCAAGCATGTAACACTGAGTATGGCACTCATTGACAGTGCTTATATTTGCCCTCTACTAAATTAAGAAAGGTATGTTAAATCCTGCTGAGCTATAGCACAGTGGTAGGGCATTTGCCTTACAAGCGGCCAACGTAGCCAACATGGCCAACCTGAGTTCGATTCCTCTGCCCCTCTCAAAGAGCCTGGCAAGCTACCGCGAGTATCTCGCCCACACAGCAAAGCCTGGCAAGCTACCTTGCCTGGCAAGGTACCGTGACATATTCAATATGCCAAAACAGTAACAAGTCTCACAATGGAGACATTACTGGGCCCGCTCGAGCAAACTGATGAACAATGGGAAGACAGTGACAGTGACTATGTTAAATCCTAGCTTGCCAAGGGACTTTGTACATTTCCAATAATGAAGGAACATCTCATTTTTATTGAATGTTCTCTATCTGATCAGTTTTCTTGTATATCCATAGAGAGCTATACTACAATCTTTTACTTACTAATGCAGACACTTAATAGTATGTGTACAGACTTATTTTTAAATATAAACCAATATTCCCTTTCTTGGGACAAAACACTGCTTTTATAGGCCTACTCATATTTCCCCCTACAAATTTTCTAAATTCTCTTCATTCCTACTAAATTTTACATTTATAGGTCTTACCATTTCATGTAAGCTCTAAAACATGCTAGCACAGAATTTTTTAAAGTTTTATTCATGAAAGGGAAGGCACAATTACCACAAGGAGATCCAAAAACAAAAATGCAATATATTTTAGATGCCACAATTAAAAACTTATTTATGTAAATTAGAAAATTCCATTTTATTAAGTGATTTGAATTTCTTATATGGATTAAAATCATAAGCACTCAGACATCACAAACTGATTTTTATTGATTTATTTTCTGATCATTGCACTTGCCATTCCTTTGAGTTTTGTTGGCACAGTATGACATAAATTTGTTCTGTGCTTGCTAAGGAAGCAGGTAGTGGGGTGGGAGGGAACTGAAGACACTGTTGGAGGGAAGGTCACAATGGCAGTGTGACTGGTGTTGGAACACTATATGCCAGAAACAACTCTATTATGAACAACTTTGTGAATCACAGTGTCTTAATAAAAGTTATTATTTTAAAAAATCAGTCATTAGTATTTCATAGCTACTGCAGCAGTTTCAAAGTACTATTTTTGGTAGGGGAAGGGAAGAGAGGGGAGGGGAGGGGGAAGGGAGGGGAGGGGGAAGGGAGGGGAGGGGAGGGGGAAGGGAGGGGAGGGGGAAGGGAGGGGAGGGGAGGGGGAGGGGAGGGGAGGGGAGGGGAGGGAAGTCAGGGGGCCAGAGAAATAGTACAGCAGGCAAGGAGTTTGTTTGTCCTGCACACAGCTGACCTGGATTTGATCCCTGGCACCTTGTATTGTCCCAAGTCCACCAGGAGTAGGTCAAACGCTGCTAGGTGCAGCCCATTAAACCCTTGGGGTGAAAAAAAGGATGTCAGGGGCTGGAGAGACAGTATAGCTAGTAGGATACATTAAATGATTTGAATTTCTTTACATGGGTTAAAAATCATACAGCAATCAAACATCACAAATTGATGTTCGCAAGATGCTATCTCCAGTTCAATTCCCAGCATCACGTACATTCATTCCCTTAATCACTACCAGAAGTGATCCCTGAGCAAAGCAGGAAATCTGGAGTACCACCAGGTGTGGCCCGGAAAAAAAAAAAATCAGTATCACAATATTTTTATTCTTTTCAAGAAAAATGATCTTGATTATCAGGAGAATTTTACATTCGTAACCAGGAGAATTTTACATTCAAGTTAACGTTCAATGATTTTCCCTAAAAATATTCATAAAGCATAATACATGATGAAAACATGCTTACATACCTGTAATCTGTGGTTTATGAGCTTCCAATCAACACCTTAAAATATCATATTGTATTTTAGACCATGTATTCCTCATTAAGTCAAAATGAAAACTTTAAAATACTATCAAGGGTCAGAAATGTCACTTCATGTTGAGCACATGTCTCACATGCGTACAGCCCTGGCACCACAAAAATCAAACCACCCACCCTCTTTTCCCTCCCAGTCCCTGGAAAGCAAAACAAAAGAATATTTTTAATATATAATGCCTCGTAAAATTAATTTTAATTGAACTTTAAATGAACTTATAGTCACTGTATAAAACAATTTTAGCATTAGGATTACAACACAATATAAATTCACATAATTTAAAATGCACGAAAGCAAAAGCAACACAAGTCTATAAATTATGTTGTATGATTTACATACACCTGTATTTAAGAGCACAAAGTAAATTCTTACTGTATAAAAATTAAAGAATTTTTTTATAAGGGGCTAATCTGTTTTAAGAGATGCCAATTACAGAACTTATATGTGAGGCCAACTAAAATTGTGACATTTAGAAACAAAAATAAAAATATATATAAATTTAAAAAGAAATGTGTTTCTAAATGCAATTTTAAGAGAAATATAAACATGCAAATATTTGGTGAAACACCTCCCATTTTCCAACAGGGTTTGCCAAACCAAATGCAGTTTCTTTATAAAAAAATCAACTTTATCACAGTTTTGATTTGTGAAGTACTTATTTTCTACCTACCTTGAATGTTTATAAAGTTTACGAGGTCTACTATGCAATTTCCGATCCCAATTCTCTGGATCACTGGAGTTACTGTCATAAAGATGAGGTCGTCCTGCCATCCCACTTCAAGCTTCCTCACACTACTGCTCTGAAAGCAGACATGTAGCACCCATAACCTACATAAGAGAGTAGTGTTGACCTTTAAGTCTGTTCCATGCAAAATAATAGCCACAGAATTTTACATACTTTCTGATATTTCTGTGACTTTTTATTAAATTATAAAATATAAGACATGCAGTAAAGGTCACAAATCATATCATTAAACACCAGGAATCCTTTTAGATGCTTTTCATTTTATTCTATTACACTTGCTAACCCTATGTAAATGTATAATAATGTGTTCTTTATACTCAGTAAATATATTAAACTGTCATCTGAGTATCTCATGTTTCTTACATCAATATAGTATGAAAAAAGGACAAAAAGTTTCACAGACTGATTTTTTTCAGACAAAATTATCACTTCAGATGCAATTCTTTTTTAGTTTTTGAGCTGCAACCAGTAGTATGGCTTACTCCTTGTCTCTGAGATTAGGGATCACTTTTAGTGGGGCTTAGAGAAACATACAGGATGTCAGAGATTGAACCTGGGTCAGTCACCAGGAAGAAAATTGCTCTATCTGCTATACTATCTCTCTGGCCCCAGAATGTGTTTCTTAGTTACTAAAAGATGCTTATTAATAAAACATCCATCACAACCAAGTGATGTTATTTCTAAAGTTAAAGACCCTGAATATTTGCTATTTGTTCAAAAATATAGCATGTAAAAAAAAAAGAAAAATATAGCATGTAAATATAATGTTCCCTAAAAGTACAATTAACAAAAAAATGTATAATTTACAATGCCTTATTTTTTTTTTTGAGCAATAGCACAGCGGTAGGGCGTTTGCCTTACAAGCGGCCAGCAAGGCCGACCCGAGTTTGATTCCTCCGCCCCTCTCGGAGAGCCCGGTAGAGAGTATCTTGCCCGCACGGCAGAGCCTAGCAAGCTACCCGTGACGTATTTGATATGCCAAACACAGTAACAAGAAGTCTCACGATGGAGACGTTACTGGGCCCGCTTGAGCAAATCAATGAACAACGGGAAGACTGTGTTCATGTGATCTCATGTGAAGCTTTGGAACTGTTCATTCTATTAGTCACGAAACTGTAAGAAAACTTGCTTGACAAAAGCTTAATACTGATAATAATCACATTAAAATACCACTCTCCAATTTAATCTTTGCAATCACTATATAAGATAGGCCTTATGCTTCCATATACAGAATACAAGTCTCAAAAGTTTGTTCATTTTGCCAAAAGGTCATAATACTGGTAATGTCATAACAATGAGATTTTACTAACGAAAATAAAGTCTTGATCTTGAAAAATGTTCGAATTGGCATACTCTTTGTAAAGTCAGATTGACTTTCAGATAATACAAACATCTCTAGGGGACTGCTATAAAATAAAATGCAATTTTCATTTCTTGCCTTTTGTCATCAAAATAAAAATCCTCTCCAACTTTCTTTCAGTTAATGAAAATGAGTAGAAAAAAGAGGCTTAGTGAAAACTTTCCAAAGGTAGAGGGATACCTCTATCCTGTTTATATTACAATTTAGACTGGAATCTCAGACTAACAGAAAGTTCTTTCAAATGTAAATTTGTATCATTTTTTTTTATTGCCAACAAACTTTTCTTTAAACCTTCACTATTTCATGGCTATGTGTATTCTATTAATATCTTGTTATAACTAGTAGTATTACACAAGTTTTTCTATAAACATATTCGTATATTGGGGGGATCCCAGACCCTGTTCTAATTTGAATGCATGCAATGGCTTCCCCAAACCAACAACCAATTCAACTCAATTGAGTTCAATTCTGATAATATTTACTCAAGATAGTATTTTATGTGATGCCAGGGATCAAACTTATGTTGGCCTCCTGCAAGGCAAGCCTCCTACCTACTGTACTATCACTCTGGCTCCCTTTTGAGATTTTATGGAGGCTTCATAACATTACTCTAGTTTCCCTGTTCTTCATTCTATAACTGGAGACTGGTGCCAGGCCATGAAAATTCTCTGGGAGTCCACCAAAAATTTCACCCAACCACATAGCAGCTATATGGTTATGCTATTTCACGCTTAGGATACTACACTGATTTTTGTTTCTGGCTTGCTCATCACCCTTCAGCAAAGTATTTTTATTTTCCCTAGTCCACAGGTGTCAAACAGTTGAAGAAACCTGGATTAAATCAATGGCCCAAACTGGAGAGATGGCAAACCCCAGTTCAATCCCTGCACCACATATGATCCCCGAGCAAGCAACCACCAGAAATAAATTCTAAGAACCATCAGGTGTGGCCCCAAACAAACAAACAAACAAAAAAGTAAATAAATCACTGGTTTCTAGTGACCCTCAACTTACAGCGGTCTCAAGGATGCAGGGATAGTTAAGTGGGTAGGGTGCTTGCTTGCCCACAGCCAGCCTGGGTTCAATCCCTGGTACCCTAAATGGTCCGCCAAGACTGCCAGAAGTGATCCCTGAGAGCAGAGCAAGTAGTAAACTCTAGCACTGCTGGGTGTGACCACACCCAAAAAAATCCTTACAGCCTTTTAAGAGATAAGGACTGTAAGTTCCAACACTCTTATCATTTGGTTCTCTAGGCAACAGCCCCATTCCACCCCACATCTTTCATTATCAGGTGTTTCAAAAAAGTTACATTCATTATCAGAACAAGGGATACTTTCAACACTCAACACTTAAATTCAAAGTTCTGGGGAGTTGTAGGTCAGGAACTGTGGATGAAGATCAAATAGTATGAGAAATATATTCTGTTTATTTAATAACCAAAATATATTTCTTATAAATCAAAGTATCACACATAAAGTTGTTTTTATTTTTCAGACTTTGAAAACAAAGTAATTCAAGTGCGGTGGTTATTAAAAAGAAAGACCTAATAATTAAAGGTAAAATAGTGGAAAAGACAGAATTAAATAGTAATATCATATACTTGTTATACAGAAAGCAAAATATCAAGAGGAATGGGGAAATAGATTAACAAGTAGCAAGAAAGCACTGAGCTAGTAATGTGTCCCAAAAATAACTTTTCCCAAATCGAAATCACCAAAAAAAAGCAAATTAATGACTTAGTTGTGGTGGATCAAAGAGCAAATACCTGAATATTCACATTTAATTCTGTATGAACTACATGAAGGCCTTCAGGAAAAGCCTACAGGAAGGAAGAATTTCTCAAGGGTCAGAATCTTGAGGGATTTCATGAGTCTCTCTCCTTAGGAATAAGAGATTGCACCATCCTGAAAGGTACAAAATAGAAGATGTATCAAACGAAACAGACAAGTAGATGGGAGGCCGTCAGCAATGAGTTTACCTCTGGAAATTAACAAAACCAAGATGCATATTATTAAAGACATTAATTACTCTGGCATGAGCCCCTAGAGTCCCTAAATCATGAATGTAAAAACAAGATGGTTGGACCTTACCTAGTGCATGAGAGGAGACTGATTAGCAAAAGCAAAAGGCTGTATTAAGAATCTGAAATGTAATCACCAAAAGTTCTTCCCTTTACCTGACACCAGACTTTTATCTACAAAGGAAGTACCAATTAGGGGCAGCTTGGTGGCATAGTGGGGGGACCCTATTAAATCAGTTTTGAAAAGGCAAGTGGAATCATTGTTTTCTGGCTTCTCCTGATCTCATCTTGGGGATGTGTACCGTTGGCTCTCTTTGTTCCAGAGAAGCCATGTTTTCTGTCTTTCTCCCTTCATGTTTCCAGAATAATGTTAACCTGTGCAGGGCAAAGGCAAAGACTGATTTTTTTTCCCTATAAAAAGAAATTACTCAATCCAGTCGAAGACCGTGACTCCCTGGGAATTTGGTGGTGAGGACCAGTTTCCACATCGTGAAGACCAAGGGGTCCTCAAATGCAGCTTGACAGCAGCCTAGTGAAACCAGTGAGACATCCCCACTGTGCAGGTGCTGAAAGAAGACTTTCCCAGTCCAGCCCCATCCCCCACTCCCTACACATACAAATAGGAGGTGGGTCCATTAGAAAGGCTAGGTAGGACACTCTCCCAGCCATTACCCCCTTGCTCCCCATTTCTCCTATGGACATCTCTTAGTGAACCATCCCAAAGCACAACATCTGGCAATAAAACCAGGAGTCAAGTGATCTCAACAAATCTAACTACTAGAAAGCTTTGAAAAAGTTCGACAAGTTTTTCTAATTTCCTCACAGAAACTGCCAGATTAAATCATAAATTGATAAGGAACTGAACTGATTTTTAGCTACTTTGAGGACTACTAAGACTAGAGGAACTAAATAAACATACACTACCACAGACAATAATGAAAGAAAAAGAACAGGTAAAAGCAACTTTTAAAATATTAAAAACAATGGAATTTAAAAAAAAAAAAAAGGAAACTTCTGTGAAAGTGCTGCCCAAGTAATTATGTAAGCCTTAATTTATGTTGGTAAAATATTTTTAAAATAGCCACTTAAGAAAGTGTCCTGGGGCTGGAGCGATAGTACAGTGGGTAGGATGTTTGCCTTGCACACAGCCGACCCGGGTTCGATTCCCAGCATCCCATATGGTCCCCCAAGCACCACCAGGAGTAATTCCTGAGTGCATGAGCCAGGAATAACCCCTGTGCATTGCCGAGTGTGACCCAAAAAAGAAAAAAAATGTGTCCTAGGGCTGGACATAGCAGGCAGCAAGTAGGGCGCCCTACTTGCATGTGGCTAATCCAGGCTTGATTATCAGCAGCCCTTATGTGCACCTTTAGCATCACTAGGAGTAATTAGTGAGCCCTAAGCATCAACAGGTGTGGCCTAAAAAAGAAAGTCCAAAAGTATACAATAGTGAAAGAAGTCAGTCTTGAAAAACCATGCGTAACCAGAGGATGATAGAATCAAGCTTAAAATTTTTATACTGAGTGCCTTCCTCAACCACTATAAAGATGTTTAGGAAAACTAAACAGGCACATAGGTAAGTAGTGAAGAAAAAAAAAAGTTCAGAAAAAAAAATAGTTCACAACTTGAAGTAGTCAGAAATTTAAGACAAATATTAGTAAGTAAGTATAGCTCAGTGGTAGGGCATTTGCCTTGCACATAGC